AAATTAAAGAAAATATAAAGTTGGAAATAAATAAAAATAATGTTATTGAAAGTTGTATATTATCTCGTTAGAAACATTTAGGCGAAAACCTCATCGAAATCCGAGTTATAACGAAGAAGTTATGACCAATCGAAGATCCGCGACAAAACCGACAAACACTATTTAGCGTAAAAAGTGAGTTTTCGATAAACTAATTTTTAGCTTTAGTGATCTAAATGAAAGTCGTAGTATTCGTTAAACCGATAATTTTCATAAAAAGAACGTCCAAATCTGACTTCGTATGAGGAAGTTATGATTTTTCTAAGTTTTAGTATAGCAGTATACACCTAAAAACTCGAAATAAAGATCGAGTGATTTTTAGCCGACGCAACCTAAACGAGAATCGAAGGTCTCGTCAATAGTAGTACAACGGTAAAAAGACAGACGAAAACGGACGTTGGATGAAGAAGTTATGAATTTTTAACGGATTTTCCTGTCCCGGTCTGTTAAAAATAATAATATTAAAAATAAAGTCAAAATTAGCCGACGGAGTCGAAACGAAAGTTGTAGAGTATAATCTCGCCTACGCGTGCATATAAAGAACGTCGAAAACGGAGTTTACATGCGAAAGTTATGAATTTTTGAAAATCTGGGCTCAAATTTCGAAAATTCTTGCAAACACTAGGTCCGGATTAGGCCACGTCGCCCCTCTTCGCGAGCCTGCCCTGTGTTCCGATCTGGTGAGTCATCCGACGCACGTCACACCCTCCTCGCATCCGAAGTGCGGCCCACCGAGAATGCGACGCGTGTTCAGCGCTGTGGCGCATCCGAGTTTGGATTCGTGTCCGCCTGCGAACCGAGCCGCGTGTCCCTTATCTTCTTCGGTCCGAGGTCCTTCGCACCCTATATAAGGGAGGTGCGAACCCTCCCGGTTTTGGTTGGAAAATTCACACTTTTTACACCTTTTTCACATTTTTCACTCCCATAAACTTCTTTACAACCCCCGAAGTCCCGGGAACCTACCTAACACCTGAAAAACATCCCGAAGTGCCCGAAGACCCCGAGAAATTTATCTTTTTTGTTTGAAGCTCAACCCCCGCAAGGCCCGATTTTCAATAAAGCTCCCGGTTTTCATCAAAGAAAGTTAATTATAGAAACGAAGTGCTGCCCAAATTACTATTTTAACCTCCGGTTATTTCACGGTGAGTTCAAATTATAGGAACAATTGTATGTTATGTGTTATATGTGCAATATGCTTTCCCGTGTTTTTTTATCAAAATGAGCTATACCTTTGACCACGAAGTGAATGACTAAGCATCACTTGGGTATTGGTATGTAGCCTTTGACCATGAAGTGAATGAGTAAGCATCACTTTGGCATTGGCAGAATGTTGGATAGGGCTGAAAGCCTGTAAATTCTAGCAAAATGTTTATTCAGAAATCGTTTATTTTTTGTGCCACTTGGGGTAAAGTCTTATTGATGTATATCAAGTTGAAATTGTTGTATCTCATTGATTGTAAATCTTTGAATCAGATCATTTTTTGATATGGAAAGCTTGTCACATGATTCACATATGCCTTTGTTGTTCTTTGTTCCCCATTGCTTCTGTCATATTGGTATATATATGGCATAACGTTATACCGTATCTATTTTTGAACTCACTAAGCGTCACCGCTTATCCCTCTCAGTGTTTAACTGTTGCAAGTAATAAGGATCCAGTATAGACACATACTGTTGGAAGATTTAGAATAGTTAATAATATTACTTTTATATTTAGTAATCGTGTATGTATAAAATTATAATTTCCTGGGTAGTTATGTAATATACTAAAACTTAGTCGGTTTGTATCCAGTCTTTTGTAATTAAACTATCAATGTAAAATATTGTTTATGAATATGCATGTAGCATGTTTTGGAGTAATATGATGAAATTTTAGAGAGGGGTTCTCTCATAGTTAGTTAAAGATAACTAGAACTCCTAAAAGCACAAAGCAAGCAGCATTCGAGCATTGAGTAACCATACTAAGCATATCCTATTCAGGCCATCATATTACTGACTAATCAGTTCTAGCATGTAACTCAATATGCACATATAGCAGGCACATAAGGCATATTTCTATATCCTTAGCCCTAATCTAGCATGCAGTTCTTATACACATACAATAGGCCTATAAGGCATCTTCCTAGATCCTTAGCCCTAATCTAGCATGCAGTTCTCATATACATACAATAGGCCTATAAGGCATCATTCCTAGATCCTTAGCCCTAATCTAGCATGCAGTTCTCATAATCATATCATATCAAACATAACATGTAGGGGTATCTTGGGGAAAACTGACTTGAGCTCGACCGGTTGCACGCATCACACACCTTGTTCCTTCTCAAAACCCCTTATTTTAAAATTTTAGAAAAGCTATTTTCTTGTGAAAATCTTTCAAACCCTCGATTTGAGTCCAGACACCCCCGAAGGTGTGTCCGAATCCCTCAAACCAAGGCTCTGATACCAACTTGTAACATCCCAAAAATCATGACCAAAATGTTCATTTTTCAATACAATAATTATAAAACCATTTGTCTGAAAACAACCATATCATCAAATCATATCAAAACCATAGTATCAGTGGTCAAATCATATCATGATAAAACACTGTCAGAGTACAAATCCCATAAATCTCATTTGCGGAAAATCGTGTGTGTGATACGCTGCTACCGTGCCGACTCCTTTCCCTTTGAAGAGGAAGTACCTGAAATCAAAACTGAAAACCGTAAGCACAAAGCTTGGTGAGTTCCCCCATCATACCACATACCATAAACACATAATGTCAATCCATCAGTATCTTTCAACTGGTATCTGACTGACATAATTGGAAGTTGGACTTCCCTTCGGTATCTTTCAACCGGTAATCGGGAGCTGACCTCCCCTTCGGTATCTTTCAACCGGTAACCGGGAGCTGACCCTCCCCCCCCCCCTTTCGGTATCTTTCAACCGGTAAACGAGGACTATTTCACCCCTACCACTACCACATAATAACATAATCATGAACCTACTGTTAGGCATGCATGGGTACTGTCTACCCCTTCAGTATCTTTCAACCGGTAACCGGTGACTATTTCACCCCTACTACTACTAACACATATATCATAGCATCCTAGCACATAAAGCGTAACCGATAGTGGCATACCGGACAATTATCACAAAGACAATCATCTAATCAAACAACTCCAACTAGTGGGCCGATATTGTGGCCTTAGACCCAATTTCTAGTAGAAGGTAACTCACCTCAATGTCGTGTAGTAACTGAACTGTCCTCAGTGCTAGGATCAACTCTCCTCAAACTCCTACACATATCAGTCTCCTTTAGTTACTCCTTCATATTCATATCCCCTTTAAGGGTCAATCTTGGATAGTGGTAAAAGTCAACGCTCTGGTCAAAGTCAACATCCTGGTTGACTCAACTTGCCGAGTTGGTCAGTCAACTCGTCGAGTTCCATAATTCAGAGAATCTCGAATTCGCGATCTGACTCGTCGAGTTACCCTCTAACTCGCTGAGTTTCTCCTTATGACAGAATCGGGACTTTCCATTTGAACACGTCGAGTCTTTCCTTGGACTCGTCGAGTTCTCCTTCATACGGTCGGGACATTTGCTCACTAACTAGGCGAGTTCATCCTTCGACTCGCCAAGTTCTTGACCTTTAAGTCCAAAACACGTCTCACTGGCTGAGTTATATTCTAGACTCAACAAGTTGCTAAGTAACAGAGAAGGTTGGGGGAACCATGACCCGACTCGCCGAGTCCTAAGAACGACTCGTCGAGTCCCCCATGATCCAAAACTATACAGTCGATTTCAGTCGGACTTAACGCATCCAAAACATAGATTTGGCCTCCTAGGATCGATATAACACGTAAAGTTTCTAACTTTACGTGCATCCATGGGTTATTTAGCTCAAAAAGCCCTAAAAAGTGGTTCATATGATGCATAGGACTCCCATGGCCATAAAGTTGGCACCTTTATGCCATGGAGTCCCTCAAGGACCCTGGATCTGAAGTCAAAACCCCAAAACATGCTTGCATCCATGAATGGTTCCAAAAGATGGTTCCTTAAAGCCCTAAAATACTCCAAAAAGAGACATGAAGGAAGAGATTTCATTGAGTTTGACGGAAGAGATTTCTTTAAGTTTGAAGGGAGAGTTACTCTAGAGTTTACATCTTAATATTTACGGATAATATTTTCAACTTCATTCCATATAATTGTCACATTATTCTCTAAAACTTTAAGGATTAATTCCTATTATTTGACATTTGTGGTTATAAATGACTTACTTGTTTGGTCAATGGCAACATATTGATTTACGGGTAGTCTCAATTCGGAGAAGTCATAGACCATTGGGACCTTAAAATGAAAGGGGGTTATTTAAGCGTAGAGAACTTGGGTTGGGGTTTAGATGCATATGCTTTTACAATTATAATTTAAGAAAAAACTTTGTCTAAACTTCTTAACTCATTTATTCATATATGTTGAAAACATTTTTAAATGTTTTTGGAATTAAGACTTGGGAGTTGGGTTTTTCGCCATTACCCAATTTCATTCCAAAGTCTAATTTTGGTATTACTCATTAGACTCATCAAACCTAACATTATACTTTGAAGACCGAATCTATGGTTAGTCTTCTTGGAAATTTAAAAGGTCATAGTTTGTTACGGTTGGTTTAGGGAAATCTCCATTTTAGTCCTATTATTTTGCCCGCGTTTACGAAAAAGTCCTAAACTATTAAATGTTAACGGAAAAGCATGAAATACCGGATAAACCAGTGAATTGACCCAATTTACCCGACTACCACTCTTGCAACCGGTGACAAACCGATGTGGCATTAAATGAGATTAGGTGGAAGGTGAGTCGACCAAATCACACACCCATTCCTTCAACGGTAAATCAAACACAGTTATGGTAAGAAATTAGGGCTTTTTACGTGCGAAGAAGATGACAACTGTGGGCACGAGTTCGAGTCTTCCAAGCTTTGCTAATGGAAGACGTCTGGGATTTTGATACTATTGATGTTGAAGTAGACAAGGATTTGAAGAAGCAAACCAAGAGATGCAATGATGCATTCTTGAACAACTTGTGTCCCGACATAGCTGGTGAAGAAGGTGATGACTTTGCAATCCCTGAAATTAAACATATCGACGACGAGGTTGACTTAAATGAATATGATGTGATGGAGAATGAAGATCATTTTGACTCAATGCGAGAAGGAAGTGGGTCTGATGAAGTATATGGGTATGATGAAGAAGTATCAAGTGAAAGTGACCAAGATTCTAAGCTTGAGTTTGAGTACAGCACCCACGATCCAAAGGTTAAATGGAACAAGATGAGACCACTTCTAGGAGAGAGGTATGAATCACCCCATCAACTAAAGTTATGTTTAACTAACCATGCTATTTATACTGGTTATAAGATAAAGTTCAAGAAATGTGACAGTGTTAGGCTAGTTGCTGTATGTGCTAGTGATCCACAAAAATTTCAATGTCCATTTAATGTTAGGGCTTCGTGGATGAACACAGAGAGGTCGTTTCAAATTAAGAAACTTGTTGACAAACATAGGTGTGTTAGGAATTACAGAAATACCAACCTTATGGGTCCAACATGGTTAGGAAACCAGTTTCTGAAAGAACTGATTAGGAAGCTCCAGTTGAAGTGTAAGGAAATGCAGGTAATTATCCAAAGCAGATTCCACCGCAATGTGTCCTGGTCAAAGTTCTATAGAGCAAAGTGTAGGGCCATGTCTTTGATAGAAGGGAGATTGAGTGACCACTATGCTAAACTATGGGATTGTGGTGGTGAGCTGTTGAGATGAAATCCAGGTAGTTCAATTAAAATTACTGTGAATCAAAACCAGGATAACACAACTACTTTCCAAAGAATATATATTTGTTTTAAGGCAATAAAAGAAGGATGGAAGGTTGGTTGTCGTAGGGTTATTGGACTAGATGGGTCTTTTTTAAAAGGTCAATGTAAGGGAGAACTGATAACTGCTATTGGGAGAGATGCAAATAATCAAGTGTATCCCATTTCCTGGGCTGTAGTTGACATAGAGAACAAGTTAAACTGGAAATGGTTCTTGGAATTGATAACAAATGATTTAGAATTGGATGGTGGAAGGGGTATGGCAGTAATTTCCGATCAACACAAGGTACTTCACAAAAAATTTACTATTTCTTTACTATATACTTCATACTTAGTTTATTTGATGTAATTGTTTTTGTTATTTGATGTAATTGTTTCTGTTATGAATAGGGGCTTCTTGAGGCTACAAAGGAAGTCCTACCACTTGCACAACACAGACAATGTGCCAGGCATATATATGCCAACTTCAAAAAGGTGTATAGTGGTGTGGAGTTTAAAAATATGTTCTGGGCTGCTGTAAAATCAATTGTTGAAGGGGAGTTCAACATGAACATGCAAAAGATTAGGGATATTAGTCCATCTGCTTATGAACATCTAATGGCAGGGGATCACAGTTCATGGTGCAAGGCCTTTTATGGTAGAGGATTGGCATGTGAGGCAGTAGAAAATGGAATGGCTGAATGTTTTAATGCAATTATCATGGATGCTAGAAAAAAGCCCCTACTGGCCATGCTTGAGGAAATATGACTATACATGATGGAAAGATTCTATAATCTGAAGGAAGAAGGACAGAAATGGGATACTGAAATATGTCCAGCAGCAATCAAGAAGATGGAAGCATTTGGTGAAAGTTTAAAGTAAGTTATCCTAAAATTTAATTCACTAATATTATCTTTCATATGCTGATGTACTCTTAATTACAAGACCTGGTATGTTCATCCTAGCGGTGTAACTGCTTTTGAAGTGAGGAGTGGTTTTTACTCTCATGGTGTTACTTACAAGAGTATACTTGTACTTGTAATTTGTGGGCTGTATCAGGGATACCTTGTGTACATGCCCAAGCTGCCATTATGTATACACAACAAGATCCTATGAGCTACATTAGTAGTTGGTTTAGTAAAGAGAAATATATGTTAACATATAGTTCTAACATACTACCAGTCAATGGTAGCAATATGTGGGTGGAATCTCCTTATCCAAAGCCCCTCCCACCTATTGAAAGAAGGATGCCAGGAAGGCCATCCATCAAGAGAAAGAGGCATGATTCTGAACATGAGGACAAGTTTTCACAAGTATCATCTAAAGGCAGAACTGTCCAATGTACAAACTGCCAGCAAAAGGGTCACAATAAAGTCTCTTGCAAAATTACAAGGTGATCCATGAACTAAAACCAAAGAAGAAAATGGGAAGGCCTAAGTTGGATCCTAATCTTACCCATTGGAGAAGAGGTGGAAGGGGAGGAAGAGGTGGAAGAGGAGGTGGTAGAGGTGAGATGAGGGAAAGTATAAATGGACCACAGTTTGAGGTTAAAACCGAGTATGAGGTTAAACCTGATGTTGAGGTTAAACCCGAGTATGAGGTTAAACCTGATGTTGAGGTTGAACCTGATGTTGTGGATGAGGGGGATGGAATTGATATATCAGATATGGATATAATAGTAAGTTCCATTATAAATTTGAGGTCATCAAACTACAATGATGCTGAAATAATGTCTACTCTTGGAATTAATGAATCTCAATTGAAGGAGTTTGGATCTTTAAATGTGGTGAGTGTTTCTTTTTAAGGGCATTACAAATCAAAGCCAATTTTTGAAATTATTTGTTTTTTTATTCAGGAAACCAATGTTCAAGAAGAGGTCAAGGTTCAGGAAGAAGAGGTCAATGAAGAAGTGGTCAATGTTCAGGAAGAAGAGGTCAATGTTCAAGAAGAAGAGATCAATGCTCAAGAAGAGATTCAGAATGATGAGGATATCCAAGAAATCATGAGGAGGAACACCCAACGAATCAGGAGGAGGAAGCCATCAGAGAGGATAACTAAGTTGAAGTTGAAGAAGCAGGTGGTCAACAAATTTGGGATGACTGAAAGCAAAGCACTTAATTTAGAATAGGTCAATGGTAGCTCTTTTTTTGTAATTAAGTCATTGTGTTGGCTTTTATAACTCTTTGGGTAAAAATTTCCCTTTTTGTTAATTTTTTGGAAAGTCAAACACTATGACATACTTTGGTATGTAGTTTGGTATGGTTATTTAGTAATGCAGTTTGGTATGTACTTTTGTATGGTTTGTAATGCAGTTTCCTATACTTATTTTGTAATGCAGTTTCCTATAGTTATTTGGTATCCTAAAATTACAACGATAATCCAAACAATTGCAATCAAACCAAATATGCATTTCATACTCAGATACCATTACATTCCAAAAGAAACAGGGAAACGTCACATTACATAGAAACATAAGTTTGGTATGGTTTTTTAGTAATGCAGTTTGGTATGTACTTTTGTATGGTTTGTAATGCAGTTTCCTATACTTATTTTGTAATGCGGTTTCCTATAGTTATTTGGTATCCTAAAATTACAACCATAATCCAAACAATTGCAATCAAACCAAATATGCATTTCATACTCAGATACCATTACATTCCAAAAGAAACAGGGAAACGTCACATTAAATAGAAACATAAGTAAACATCCTAAAATTACATGAACATAAGCCAAACAATTGCAATTAAACCAACCAAACACCAAATCTTCCATCCCTTAACAACCATTCCACCTTCCACTTGCACAGGAATCTGTTGCACTACTTCTTCCACATCTTCATCCATAAAGTCTTCAAATTCTTCATCATTGACTCCATGAATTCCTTGGTTGTGAAAATCATAGATCATCTGTTTGTACCAGTTGTTTGGTAATGGAGGATCTATCCATTCAAAGAATTTGCAATCCTTCTCCTTATCTTGCATTGGACGACATTTTGCACAGTGTAACAACTATGGTGTTTAAGGGAAATTTCAAAGATTTGAAGATAAAAACCTCACATTTAACTGATATAAGGTTCTTCGGTTTCCATGAAGATAAAAACCTCACATTCAAAGACTCGAAGACACTCACCTTGTATTTGGGGCAACCAAGGAATCTCCTTCCAGGGTTCTTCGGTTTCCATGAAGTCCACCTGCCAACTGGTTCATCACAATCGCACCTTCTTCGAACTTGCCTGGCTGACATATATGCACTACTGTTGGAGACGGATGAGGAGGAGGCCATATTCAAAACTTGCAATTTGGTCGATTTAGGGTTTGTGGACTCTTAAATAACGTAACAACTGAGGTAAATAAAGTAAGAGAGAGAGAGGTATGGTCGAGTCAGCTTCCATGTAAGCAAAATAATGCCACATCGGTTTGTCACCGGTTGCAAGAGTGGTAACCGGGTAAATTGGGTCAATTCGCCGGTTTATCCGGTATTTCATGCTTTTCCGTTAACATTTAATAGTTTAGGACTTTTTTGTAAACGTGGACAAAATAATATGACTAAAATGGAGATTTCCCGTTGGTTTATCTTTTGTAATGAGATCTAATTGATGGCCCTCATATTTGAAACTATACACTTTTAAACTTAAACTATTTAATTAAGCTTTGGGACCAAATCTTGGATCAATGACGTAAATTGTTTAGTGTATGATCCCACACTCCCACACATAATTAATGGTATACCAATTTGTTTATATTTTTTACACTATATTTCTAACAATTAAAAGCATAATTAGTAGTATACCGATTTGTTTATATTTTGCACACTATTTCTAACAATTGCTTTTAATGTGAAACATGATAATCAAATCTTCCCGATTCGTAGAGCAAAATAAAGTTGAATGGGAGGTGACCAAAGATTTTAATTATTTCTGCAAAGAAATATGTAAAGGGATGGTGGGCGTGTTCGCAACCAACGGTCATCGGAGAAGATGAATCAAGTGTCGTGGTAGGGTTTGGGTGGTGGCCCTTTATAATATCTAACTTTTTAAATTACGTTAGTAACGAAAAAAAAAACGTAAAAGCAATTACACAGATAAAATATGTCATTTCATTTCGGCCAGTCACCATTCCAAACCATAACAAGTCAACAATTGCCGCACCCAAGGATAAAATCGTTAGAATCTTCTTTGTTTTTACTGAACTCTTGTTTTTTTGTGAAGGACCAACTATGTAACTTACTCTTACATAAACGAAGATGTAAATAGGAAAAGACCAAGTCATATTTGGTCCAAAAGATGAACCTTCATATATCTTGGGTGATGGGAATTTGGATATTATGATTTTATTGAAAACTTCATATAATAATTATATACAACAAAAAAAAATCTTATCATTTAAGAATGAAAGCGAGTTCGAAAGATAAAGGTGGAAAAAAAAAAGCAATCAAGCAATAGACGGAGCCCGCATCTCATGTTTGTATATCAGTGACGTGAATAATCTAATGGTTTGGTTTCTTTCATATCAATATCATAATGATATTATACACAAGTATATTAATGATTGAATACCGAGTCTTTTGTGACGAAAAAAAAGTAGAATTGACAATTATTTTTGAGTAATGAGGCATTACACGACCTCCACAAGCACCACACAATTAACCGACAATGTATGGTTTTGGGACCGACTTTGACAATCATGTATGCCCCTAGCTAGCCGTTATTGATGGGAATACAAGAAAATTGTGGTTGGTTAAATAAGTTGTTATTAAGACAGTTGATTTTGATGATTTTATTTTTCCTTCACTTTCTAGAAGAATATATATTGTTACTCCATCTACGTGGTTGGTGCTTCATTGAGGCTTGAGCTATAGGAATGGATGAACTCATACAAATTTGTGTTTACACTTTATACAGTTGCTTTACACTAACCTGCTCCACCATAACCAATAAATGGAAAAATCAAACTTTTGTTGTTAAAGAATTCTTTTGTTTTCCTTCCAATATAGTTGGATCCAGTCTTCTCATGTGATCGTGTTACACATTTGTTTAGTTTCTTTATACAATCTCCTAGACAATTCTTCTCTTGGGTTCTCTTATCATATTTATCTACATATTAACTACGTTGTATTTGAATCCATAATTGCATTATATTCTTGAGAATTTATAAATAATACACAACCATTTAAACAAGAAGCTCTATATATTTCTGATTTGCATGTTCTGTTTAGGCTAGTAAGAAACTGGGTTTCGTTGCCCCGAATTATTTCAGAGAACAAGTTTAGTGACAAAACCCGTCTACTAATTTGTAGGTAAAATGACAATTAAAAGCATTAAAAACATCAAAATCCATATCTTATTTAGTATAAATAACATCATAAACTCAATTCAAATAAACAAAAAATCCGTTTTTACAATTTTAACCACAAATATGATAAGCGAAAACCTAAAAAGTTCCAATAAACAATCCACTAGTTGTGAGACCCATGTATTACATGAGTTAATTTAAAAAAAATTAAAAAAAGTTAAATATAAAAGTCAAAATATTTGAGAACTTTGAATTTATAAGAAAATAAGAAAAATAATGAATTATTGTTATTAAATTTTTTTTATCCTTTAAATCTAAACAAATAATTTAAATAAATAAACAAAAGAAACTAATGAGCTTTAATTTAGGAATTTTGAAATTAAAATGTAACTTCATTAATTAAATTGATATCCCTTTATTAATACATTTATTGTAATTATTATATTAAAATATTATGTGAAATTTAATAAAATAGAAAAACTCATAAAATGATATGTGAGAAAAAATTAATTCAAAATAACCACAAAATGACATTTGGCAAATTGAATGAAAGTGTGACAAGTAACAAAAAAAACTTTCATTTATTAGAGATGATATATATATATATATATTTTATCTATTATTGTTATTTTTGTATTTTTAATATTTTTTTTGAATGGTGTGTCAACCTAAGGTTGAAGCTCATGTAATTTGAATCCAGTTTTGTAATATTTAATAATCAAGTTATTACTTCAGCCCATTTTGATATTCGGAGTTTTAAAAAAGGGATCATTAATGTTTTTTAGAAAATAACTATTTCGTTTCTTTTCAAGTTGACAATAAATACATATTTAAAAAAAAAAAGGATAATTAACTTATGTTTTATGTATATCAGTTTCTTTTAAAGTTGACAATAAATACATTTAAAAAAAAAGGTAATTTACCCATGTTTTATGTATATCTTTATCGATCTCAAGGTTGACATGACAAGATCCATTTTTTTATTTCAATTTTACTTTTTTTTTTCTCAGATTTTAATTTTTGTTATAAATTTGGTCTGAACATTAAATATTATTATGAATTTATCCTAAATTTAGATTAATTTACAAATTAAATTGTCTACAACTTTTTAATATTTTTTATTGAATTTTTACAACGTTTTTTTAAAGTTTTTTTTTCTTACTTTTTATTGTTTTTTAACAATTCTTTTACAACATTTATATAATCTTTTATAGAAAAATTTACTACTTGTTGCACTTATTTATAAAAAAGTTATAAAATTATTTTATATTTTTTAATACAATGTTTTAAACTTGGTTACAACACTTAAATTTTTTAACACCTTATACAAATTTGATACAACTTCTTTTAAACAAAAATATTTTTGTAAATGTTTAAAAAAAATTACCTTTTATTTTTATTTTTTTATGCATTTTAACTAAAACTTTATAAGTTTTTTTACAAATTTTTAATACGGCATTTTAAACTTGTTTCATATTTTTAATTTTTTTTTTTTTTACATTTTCATAAGACATATCTTTAATGAAAGTATTTTAAATGTTATAAAAAATGTATAAAAAGAGTTAATGAAATTTTAAAATGTTTTAAAAATATTGTAAAAAGTTTAGAAAGGATTGTATACAAGTTATAAAAAAAAGGTGTACTAAAGTATAAAGAAAAAAAATAAAAAGTTGTAAAAAATGTTTAAAACATTTACAAAATATTGGTTTAAAAATATTATATAAAAATTATATGAAAAGATAAAACAAAAGTTTAAAACATTATAAACCATACACCAAGTTTATAACTTTTTGCAGATAATTATAACAAGTTGTAATTTTTTTCTATAAAAAGTTATAAAAAAATTAAAAAAAAGAAAAATCTATAATAAAGTCCTAATATTTTGATTCAGTTTAGGATATAATCATAACATTTATTTTTTTGAACATAAACTTCCCGATTATCAAATTTTATACGATAATCTGCCGCTTTCTGTTGAAAAAAATAAAGACTATTGTGTTAATTTTGGCAAAACATAAAATAATCGGGACATTTCTGTTAAAATATTCTAAAGATTTTTAATATTTGTCTTATAAAATCTATAGAAAAATTAAACTAAATTTGGCACGAATCCGTAATAAAATGTAATGTTCATACTAAATTCGTAACAAAATTTAAAATCAATAAAAAATGTAAGTTGAAAAAATGTTGACATGTTAAATCTGAAACAACATATACACTTACAAAAAACATGAGTTGATTATCTTTTAAAAAAATAAAATACATTTGTTGGGAATTCATGACAAAGGAAATATTTACTTTCCATAAAATAATGATAACCTCAAAAAAAAATGTTATGATCAAAAAATGATATAAATCAAAATGATAAGATTAAAGATTGTTATATTTTTAAATCAAAATATTTTTAGAGTTGAATCATATTATTTTTAATATTATTATTGGATTCATTTAATTTTGAATAATATCATATTATTTTAAGTCAATATCATTTTTAACCGTATATTTTAGATCATATCATTTTAAATTATATTATTTTTAATTATGTGAAGGACCAGTTGATTTGTAACTTCGATTGTGTAATTTCAACCATATATTGTTAAATAGTTAGATTTAAAATCATATTATTTCTGATCATATCATTTTCAACCAAATCAAGTTTTCTTTTTTATAAAAATTTTAGTTTATAAAAAGTTTTGGATAAAAAATATAGCTTATAATAGGCTATGAACTAAAATCCGAGCTCCAATTTTCTTAAAAAAATTTCATGATTAGGATCGTGTTAATGATAAAAAAAAGTTTTTAGACCGATACATGATGTGAAAATAGGGCTGAAGAATGAAAACACACAAGAGAGTAAAAAAAAATCAACTAATAATAGACGGATACGTGGCATGAGAATTGACCTGGAGAGTATAAACATGAGAAGGTTTCCAATTTCTTTTATATTATTTTGACAATTATACCTTCAAATCGTTTACCTTTTCTTTTGAA